ATGAGCTAGAGCTGACCCCTGCAAAGGCGAGGCACAAGCGTCATGTTACTATGCTGTTGCCATGCTGTTGCTATGCTGTTGCCATGCCACAGCAACCTCTCATTCCCCTGATAGGTGGAGAGTTGACCATACAGGTGGAGTGCACCTCTGTGACATCATAGAGGTGCAAATCAGAATCCACATGTATCAAATCCGTTGCAGCCCTGTTTTTAGAGATTTGGGTATGGAGGAAAAGAGAGAGGGTTGTATTTTCTGACACTTGGTGAGTTCCCTGACACACCGGGGACACATATTCATGTATAAAAGACGTACAAAAGTGCATTTTGCATGATAGGTCCCCTTTAAGTACAGTAACAAAGTATTTGTACTTCACTATACTTCCCACCTCTGACATTAGCTTGTAGATGGGTGAAATAATACAAGGTGTTTTATACACAATCAAAAACAAGGTAAATAAAGTGGTATGGTGCAGTTTTCTTTAGAAAAGATACAATATACTTTATTAATCCCAATTTAAGAAAAAAAAACATGTTGTAGCAGCATAACACAAAACAAGGAATAGTACAAAATAACAAATTAGAGTAGGAGTAAACAATTCTAAAATAGAAACATCTCAAAATAGACATTAATAAACCAGCATTAGGGAGTAAGAAAAATATATATACTGTAGATGACCGTGAAGATAAAAAATCTATAAATCTATAAACTGACTGACAGATAAAAACAAACTATTGAAGGGCCAATTTCCTTTGATGTTGTAACTTGTGTGTTCCCTTCAGATATTTGAACACCTACAGATTTTCCTACTCACGCAAACACACAAGGGAAAACGGCAGTTGTTTGGAAAGCATTTCATGATGATGCAACCCAACTAGTATCAATCATGTGACAAGGCTGGAGTGATGATGACACAGCAGGAACGTGTCAGTAGTGCTGGATAAAAGCATTGATAAAACAATGATGCAATACAATGCTAAGGCTCATAAAGATTGTTTAACATTAAGAAATGATGATGTTGTCTTTGCAAAAAATAACACTGAAAAATAATATTTTTTCATTTGAAATACATGATGTTATTATCAGCAATGCATTACTTAAGATTCCCATTCATGTTCGAGAACCAAAAGTGCCCTTTAATTTCTTGTTTGGAGATCCCATGAAGGATGTTGCTGCTTTTGTAAAAACATTTAGATGTCTGTTTAATGTTTTTTTGTTTTAACATACCTACCTGGTTTCTAGCCTGTTTTTATCGCGACATGTTCAGTTCTTATTTCCTGGTTGCAGTAGTTTTCCATTTTTATTCAGGCTTTTTTACTCTGAGATCATGGTGCACGTAGCTCTACTTATTCACAGCAAACATCCTTTACAATGTGGAACATTCTGCATAGAGACTTTTCTCTTAAACATGTGTAGATATTATTATTATGGCCAGTTAATGGAATTTTTTCATTAGCTTGTTTTTATGCACAGGGCCTCACCAATTGTAGTGTAATTTTGCTTCCCTAGTAATATAGTATGATTAACAAGTTTCTATCTTTTTGACAGTTATTTGATGTATCTTAGCCTTTCATACTGCCTGTGAGATCTACTGTAGATCTTAATACATGTCTTTCTTTGCTGCAGGCTGCTGGATGAGCTGCTGCAGAAGGAGAAGGAGTACCAGCAGGTCCTGAAGGCCACACTGCAGCAGAGAGCACACGACCTGGAGATGGTCCGAGTCAGACACAGACCCCCAGGTAAACACGTTGAGATATTATCCTTCTGTTTGTTTTTCTTCCTCTCTAACTCTCTGTTTCCTTACAGACATTTCACCTCCCTCCATATTCCACATCCCAGCGGACCACGGGCCGGACAAGGAGCTCACTGATTGGCTGAAAGAGAAGGGGGCAGACGCTGCCACCATAGATAAGGTTGATGACAAGACTTTTGAACATCTTTCTATGAGCCACAGCCGTCATTTTTAGCATGGTTTTTAACTTGATGGCTTATGTGTTGCAGTTTGTGCTGGAAGAATAGAAACTGACTTACATTTTCAATGACGTTTCCAAAGATGACCTCCACTGTCTACGTCTACGTATCTACTGCCGTCACAACACAACATGAAAGAAAGGAACATCATATCAAACTATTCTTGGCAGCCGATTCTTACTAAAAAAGTAGTGGGAAGAAATGAAAAGCCTTATCAAACATATAAGTCTTTAAAAGGAAATGACGGTATGTGTACAGAATTTTACATGGTCATATGGAATTTAGGGGCGTTCTTCTCAAGTCTACAAGGCTTTAGGCCATCTGAATGTATATACACATGCTTTAGGGATAAGTCATTCCTTTTCGCAGCACAGGTGCACATTTTTGGGATTGCTGCAATATGGAAGGTGTCTAGGTTGAAAACTATCCAGAATTTGCACCATCTAAAAAGAAAAAACACAAAATGTAACACTCATGGTGGGAACATTTATATTAAACTTGTTGTGCAATGCTACTACAAAAGATACTTCTGTACCAATCTGTATTGTTTGTGACATCAAGAAGTTTTAAATCAACAGCCGAGTTGGGGATATATTATATCCGAGATTCGGCTGCATTACCATTTTCAACTAAGAAAAAAAAACAGAACAATTAAAGTGGACCTATCATGCTATATTTGAATAATATAGTGTAGGACCATACCTATATAAGGCATATTTATACTTTTTATTT